ATTGTAGTCCTGTGCCCTCTGGGTCCCCGCCAGGGCTCCGGGTTCTGCGCACTCATCCTGGGCGGGGAGGAAGCGGAAGCGGGGGGGAGGGAATGGGCTTCTCTGGGCTTTTCGACAATTGAACTACAACTCCCAGCAGGCCTTGCGGGGGTTGAGGGCCGGCCGGGGCGGGAGCCCGCCAGTGAGTCGGGCCGGGTGCCTAGTCTGGAGGCCAGGCCGGGACCCAGCCTTTGGGATAACCGGCTTCGAGCCCCTGTCGGCCCTGCGTTTGAGACGGTTTTGGTGTTTAACGCTGCTCGGGGCCACAGATGGGCGGCACTCTGCCCTAAGGACCGAAAGAAGGCCTTAACCCTGGGTGACGTGAGCGACACCGGTTTTTCAACGATTTTGACTTCAGAAGGGGAGGAGGCTGTGATTTCATGACCGTCATTATTAGCTTCACCCAATATTCCCGTCCCCGGCCAAGCCCGATGGTGCACCATCGCCACTCATAGCTAATGTAAGCGGTGAAACCCTTCCACCAGCTTTGTCCAGCCTAAACCACGGCCATCTTTTGTTAACCTCAAGTTTACAGGAGCTTTTTTTAAAGCTGCTTTGCAAGCACATTCTTAAACTGTATGGTAAATCAACACAAAAAAAAAAACCAAGATTCTCCTAAAATGCTTTTATTCACACTTCACGTAGGATTGAGGAAATGTTCGTAGCCACAATTGAATAGATAGTTTGTTATTTTGGATTTATTGAGGTAGGGGCAGTTCTCTTGGGGTTAAGTAGCTGGTGAAGCTTACGGGAGGCTTGAAGCATCCATCACACCACCACCTCTTGGCATCACCATGGCCTCATTCAGTTAAAAAAAAATTATTCACTTTTTTTCTTCTGCCTCTGAACTATTATTATAACCTATCTAGCTACTTCCAGGCCCTGCCAAGCCCTTAAGCTGTTAACAAATAGTGATTAGATCAGAGGTGAAGAGGTAAAGATAATTCTACCTAATCTTACCTAAAAAGGTCCTCTTTTGATTTATTTTCTCCTGGCCCTTTTGATTCTCCCCAAACTCTCAAGATTATTTGAAAATCTTCCTCCAGATTTTAGATTTTAAGGGTTTAGATTAGATCTGGACCAACTGGGGCCCGAAGGAACTAGACATGAACATCAGCGAAAGTGTTTACTGGGTTTCACCCAGTGCAGAAGGCAGGACTTGCAGGATGACAGACAAATCCAGGGCATTATCTGGCAGGCTCAGAGAAAGCTGGGTTAAAAGCCAATGATGTCACATTGCATTACACAGTGTAAGAAGTTAAACTGCATTTTCTATTCCCTTTCCCCATCTCTCTCCATAAGACTTTTTTTTCTTTTCTTTTTTTCTCACAGAGAGGAAGGCAGAGGGATAGAGAGCTAGAAACATCGATGAGAGAGATACATCGACCAGCTGCCTCCTGCATATCCCCCACCGGGGATGTGCCCGCAGCCAATGTACATGCCCTTGACCAGAATCGAACCTGGGACCTTTCAGTCCGCAGACCAACGCTCTATCCACTAAGCCAAACCAGTTTCGGCTAAAACTGCATTTTCTATTCCCTTTCCCCATCTCTCTCCATATGACTTCTTACCATAAGACTTCTTACCTGATGATGCACCATCTAACCACTTTTCTTTTTGTTTATCTTCTTCCATTAGAATGTATGTTCTAAACAGACAATATTTTGTCTCTTTTGTTCAATGCTATATTCCTATGCCTCAACAGTGCCAGGTAGGTAATAAAAACTAAAAGATAGATTGATAGATTTAATTTCAGAGAGGTAAGAAGATGAGAATCATTGATTGGCTGCCTCCTGCATATCCAACACTAGGGATCAAGCCCACAACCTGGGCACATGCCACAACCGTGAATCAAACCATAACCTCTTAGTTCATAGATTCAACCACTGAACTACACTATCTGGACAAAACTCAAATGTTTATTGAATGGATAAATAAAGACGGTATATGATAAAATAAAAAAAAAAAAAAAGAAGAAGAAGAAGAAGAAGAAGAAGAAGGTGTATGTTACACTTAACACCATACACTCACTTTCTTATTATTATAATATAAAGTATCTACTTTTGCATTTGAACAAAATACCCTATTATTTTATAAGGGCTACCAACACAGATACACTGAAATCCATCCAGGAAGTTACCAGCAAATACTGATGTAACATCTGTCTCAATATAACATTATCAAGGTCAGCGTTAGCAACATCAGCCTTCCCCATACATAGCTTGTAGAAGCTTTGGACATTTGGAACAACACAGTACAAATTATAGGTACTGTTTAACGAGAAACATGCTTTATTGTTATTGTTGCTGTTTCCTTCTCAACTCCTCAGGGTCATCAAAACAGTGGACATTCAAAATGCTAAATATTGGTGTTACTGATCACCGCTGCCTTCAGCCATCTCATGCTGAATTGAGTCATGTGGTATGAGCAGAGGCTGGGCTTCTCTGTGGTTTTCCATAAGTAGGTGACAGGTAGGCATGTTTGAATAGGGAAGGCCATTGGCTTTGACCTGGCTTTGAATTCAGACTCTGAGGCGCACTCGCTGGGCAAACTTGAGTTACTTAATTTCTTTGAACTCATTTCATCATTGTCAAATGATTAGCTTACTCAACTCACAATATTGTTAAGTTAAATGAGACATGTTTGGCAATTGTGACTGATGCCTAGTTAGCGCTCAAAAATTGGTAATCAACATTCTGGAAAAGCCAAACAAAGCCATAAATATTCAGGCTACTTGGTATTTTTATGAAGCACAAAAACTGCAAGATTGTTTTCTGCGGTGATACCCACCGTGACTCAGGTTCCAAGGCGCTCCTTACGTGCCTGGCACAGTGCCCGGCAGTGATGCTGCAGGGCCATCGGAAACAGTCTTGTCTTCCAGAGACTCAGTCTTAGGTGGTAAACAGCCAACTAAATAGTCTCCCGCTGTGACTGCGCCAGGACACCATTCAGCCTTCTGTCCTTCCACCTACTTGCAAAATCCATGTTTAAGCAACAGTATGGGCACTCGGAGGGACAGATGGGACTACTTGCGTCCTTTGGTGTCATTTGAATATGTGTTCCTTCCTTCGTTCGTTCGTGTATAATATGAGGTAACGACTTGGTGTCCTAGTTTATAAAAGGAAAATAGTCAACCCCAACTGACAGGGTATTATAAAGCTGAATATCTGCCCTTCACCTGGTAACAAAAGCTCAAGACCTGCCAGCTGCTTCCTTGTTATTTCAACCAATAGCACAGCTGCCTAGCTCTTCAGTGTCTTGATTTTTAGCTTCTTTTCTCTGCTTCTAGATATCATGGAAATGGGTTTCCTTTCCGGCCAGGACTCCAGAGTCTAGCAATTGCTGTCAGGGTTAGGGACCAGGATCATTCATTTCCTATTGAGCAGCTACTGTTGTAAATTTTTAAACTTGATCCCCTTATTGGGATGGGCTTGGTCACTCGTTGGCTGGTATTTCCTCTTGCCATCTGAAGGACAGAGTGCTGCATTATCGACTGATGCTGTAGGTGCCAGAGTAAGATGTTTGCCACAAAGTTATTTTGGGAAATGTGCTTCTGTGCCTTTTTTCAGAGTGTTGCAACAGCCAGGAGTTTTTTGCCTGTCGGGGCTTTACCTGACCTTAAAAACTGTCAAGGGCGGATGTAGTCCACTGTTCCCGAACGTTTCCAGTGGTCAGATTGCTTTTCCTTTCAGTGGCCACCTGGCTAAGCACCTTGACCTTCGTGAGGCAGCATCTTTACAGGATCTGCTGATCCTGCTATTGCCCTTTGAGTCATCAATTGCTGCTTTAGCAATAGCAAAGTCTAGTGCCTTGATTTTTATTATTTTCAGTCTATGTAAAGGAATTATGCACATTTCAAATATTTTGACCAAATGTAGGGAGAAGGCTTTGAATTTTGCAGACCAACTGAAGTGAAGCAAAAGAAAAATCAACAAAATCTAATATGAGCTAGGTTTTTGGTTTCACATACATTTTCTGCTAATGACCTCTATGAATAAAATTCAATCGTGTATTTTGTACCATAGTCTCAATTTTTAGCACCTTTTACCATCCCCTCTAACTACAGCCAGGATGCTATCTCCTGGCTCTTCTTTTTCTCAGTAGCTCAGTTTTTATCCGTCAACATTTGTCTTCTTTATCTATAATAATAGACTATTCGCAGGAAAGGACGATCTTAAGCCCCAAGGCGGTCTAGACCCCTTATTGGGAACAGTAATGAGAGAAGAATTTGAAGCAGGTTCTGCAGCTGCATTGCCATGTGATTGGAATGAGTAATCGTTTTTCATTCTGTACAGCATCTTCCTCCGCCTACCAAATGGGAGACCGTGCCGTCTCTGCCTCATGGTGAAAATATATCATGACACATCCGGAAAATTTCATAAAGCGCCTTGCAGAGTGGGCCTACCCCACACCGTGGTTTGCACGTTTTATTTGGCGTCGGACAAAAAGACGAGGGAGAACTCTGGAGTTAATAGGGAAGAGATTCCCCCTGATGAAAGCGAAAAGAAACGTGTGTGGTTAAAACACATCATCTGCCGACCCTGAAACATCCATACTTATGAAGGAACGCTAATTCGCAGGTTCCCCCCCCTGCCCGCTTCAGTCTCGGTGGTGGGCGGGGCCTGGCGCCTGGCCACGCCCCTTTGCGGTTGCTCTCCTTCCCCGCCCCCCGGGGGGCGTGGCGAGAAGAACGCGCAGGGACCATTCTTGCGCCTGCGTCCTGCGTCGCTGGGCACCTCGACGCGGCCGCCGCCCGCCCGAGGGCCCTGTGTGCGCCTGCGCGCTCGCGCTCCCGCCCTCTCGCCGTGCCCGGCCGAGTCAGTCAGTCTGTCGGAGTCTGTCCTCGGAGCCGGAGGCGCGAGAGGATCCCGCAGAGCCCCCTCCTGTCCTATTATCTTCTTCCCCCCTCCCTGTCTCCCGCCCCACGTCTCACTTCACCCCTCTCTCGCCCTCGCGCAGCCATGGCGGACCTGTCGGCGGCCGCTCAGTCCCCGTCCGTCTCCTCGACGTCCTCCGGGGCCGAGCCCTCGGCGCCCGGCGGGGCCGGCGGCCCGGGAGCCTGCCCCGCCCTGGGGACGAAGAGCTGCGGCTCCTCCTGTGCGGGTGAGGCGCCGGGGGGCCCGCCCGCCCTCGGGAGCGGGGGTGGGGACGGGGGCTCGGGGCCGGCAGGGCGCCCACCCTCCCGGCGTGTGCCGCGGCCCGGGGGGAGGGGAGCCGGCGCGGGCGTGAGGAGATAACGGGGTGTGAGGAAAACAGGGTGCGGGCGGGCGGCCGCTCCGGGGAGGGGGCGTGGGCCCCGGCCAGGTGCGGGGACCCCAGCTCGGGGAGCCGCCCGCGGGGCCGGGGCCACGGAGCGGAGGACGGAGGAGGAGGGCAGGCTGGGGGTCGGAGAAACGGTGAGGGAGGCTGGCAGGGGGCGGTGGCGGCAGGGTTGCACTGCAGGTTTGCAGCAGGTGTTGACATAATCAGACATTCCCTGGGAGTCATCCAAAAAAATAATTTTTTTTTTTTTTGGTTGCCCGTGGGGGAAGATGAGGAAGTTGAGTGGTCACAGGAGAGCCGTTTTCTATGCCGTTTTCACCCGCCTTTGATCGCCTGTCGCTGAGACGCCCCGCCGAAATGCCCGGATTCTCCTCGGGGCTCGGGCTGCGGGAGGGGGATGAGAGCGGCGCGGGGAGCCCGGGGAGGGCGCTGCCGCGGGTCCAAGATGGATCCGCGCTGCACCCGCGGCGCCGCCCGCTCCCCGCGGCGCGGGTGGGGGCGGGGCCGCGCCGCAGCCGCTTATAGTCCTGAAGGTGATCAATGCAGTCCGGCCCGGCCGGCCGCGTATTTTTGGTTTCATGCTTTCTGTGGGCTGCTGTTGACGGCAGCGTAACAAAAGGGGGTGTCTGCCGCAGAAAAGGGGGAGGGGAGACAGTCAGACAAAGCTGGGGGAGCCCCGTCTCCCTCTGTGAAAGGCGCGGGGGATGCTGCGGGCTGCTTTTCGCTTCCATTGTACACGCATCTGCCCGCCGGTGGGAGCTGGCTGGCAGGCTCCCCTAGGGCGGAGATCCGCAGTGCAGAGTCTCTGGAGGAGGGGAGACGCAGCCCAGCAGGTGGTAAAGGAACTCGGTCTTCGAAGGAGGGAAAAGGAAAAAAAAAAAAATATATATATATATATATATATATATATATATATTACATATATATGTATATTACAGATAATGTTCTCTATTTAGTTACTTAAAGGATTTTTGAGAGATTCAAAAATGCTTTCTTGTCTCCTTTGTCAGAATCTTGGGTTGATGGCTATAGGGAACTCAGCATTTCTGATCTCGGCTTTAGATATATTCTCTGCGTGTTTCTTGAACCGTGGATCTCCCACGTGAGAGCTCTGGTACCCTGTTGGATTTTCCAGTGTGGGTAGGACCATTTCAGTAGAAGCAGTAGCAGCGGAAGCTTCTGCAAGGTCAAGATCAGCTGTCCAGCTGAAGGGATGAGGCAGCACATTTAGCTCCCTTGTTTCCTTTTCACCATCAGGCATTCCGGCTCCCAGGTGAACAGCAGCGTCCCTATAACTTAGCGACTAGGTTAGCCAAAGCTAACCACTTGTCATTGCTGACTGTCTCCATCGCTGGCCCTTTTGTTCGTACCTTTTGATTTTTCTTGATTTAAAATGTTCTGTTCACCTGAAAAATAAACTCGATACATTCCCTATCTTAAATTCCTGTCCATTGGAAATGTGTATTGATGTTGACTGAGAATCATTAGTACCGTTTTGGGGTCCCACTGTAAGATGCTGTCATGCATAGTTATCATGTCATTGCAGCAGCTTTTCCTTGTTGCAGAATGTTTCCGCCATCTCTCAAAGGAAATGTCTCAAGCTTCTGCACCGTGAAAATAAGATGACTTTGTTTCAAAATCTAACTCATTTAAACGAATACTAAGAAAAATCTTCCTGGGTTGTTTAAAAATCTACGTGTGTTGATGATGTCAACAACCTTCACGTTATTTCATCAAGCTCCTGTCGGTTTTAGAGACTTTCAAAAAATAAAAGGGTAAATGGTCACTCGGTGTCTTTAGGAAACAATGTTGCCTTGTCTGACCTGTTTGGTAATGATTTTAGAAATAATAGTTTTACCTAAAGGTAGAGAACGCGTGAGTGGTGGCACTCTCTGGTCCAGTGCCTGAGGTAAAGTGCAGCTGGCAATGTAGGATGCTTGTAGGAGGAGGTCAGGGGCCAGAATTGGCTTCCCAGATTTCTGCCTTTGGAGGAAATAGAAGATTTCAAGGCAGAAATTTGAAGTTGAGGTAAAGGAGATTTACATATTTAATGTTCTTTTCAGGGTGAGAGTTGTATTATTGCCGTGAAAATCATGGTGCCAAAATAAAACTGCATTTCCTGTATCTGTTCTTGGAAATTAGCTCAAAGCAAAAACAGCTTGGACAACATTTTTTTAAAAGTTTATGTTTTAAATCTTCTTTCACTCATGAAACTTAGTTGTTCTCTGTACTTTTGATGGCATCATTTTCACACTTTGTTCTAACAAGTCAGTCAAATGCAAGTATATAATTTGTATTTTCAGTCTGAACCCTTAGCTAAAAAGGAATCTGACTGACTACCTGTTCAACACTGACGTTATCTGTATTGTATTCATGCCAAATCATCGGTGGCACTGACATATGGAAATAAACACAGACTTCAGTCCCAGAGACATCTGGGTGTAATCTGACTCATTAACTACATGGCCCAGTGCAAACCCTGAGTCTCTAGACAAATTTGCTTTGCACCCTTAAATCCTTTTATTGAATTACAATACCTAATATTTTGTACATTTGTTTGCATATTGCAAACTTTTGCACCTAGGTGCAAAATAGCAATTGAATTACAAGTGAGAAATCATAATCTTCCTCATAATAAAGGAAGATCTTAGTACCTTTTTCTTTCTAAAAGTGAGTTCTTTCAGCTTTTGACCCCTCACACTGATATCTTAGAGTTGCTACCTTTCTTTCACTCAGCTGGTCTGTTAAAGTGGTGGTTGGTCCTAGCTAGTTTGGCTCAGTGGATAGAGCATCAGCCTGCGGACTGAAGGGTCCTGGGTTCGATTCCAGTCAAGGGCACATTCTTGGGTTGCAGGCTCCATCCCCAGTAGGGGGGAAGCGCGGGAGGCAGGCAATCAATGATTCTCCCTTTCCTATCTCTGAAGTCAATAAAAATACTTTTTTAAGTGGTAAATGGGGGCAAAGAAAGAGAAGATGTTTCATAGATGGTTTGGCATCTATGCTTAAATATTAGCTACAGCATTCTAACCAGAACAAGTGTAGTTATGATAATTATGAAACGCCTATCAGTGCAAGTAAGAGTACAGGAGACAGCCAGAATGGTCATGTCAGTTAGTTTACAAAATGCCTGTTTACTTGGAAGGTTTTTATTCCTCAGTAGTAAAAGGTTTCTTATGATGCTTTTTAGAGTCTAATTCACAAGTAATTTAACCACTCTGATCAAACAAACCAGTTGGTATATATATTTAACAGGCATACCTTAACCTGAAATTGAAGTCCAGAGCATTAGTGTTTTTATTATTTTAGAGATGGTCTGAAAACAAAATAGGCCTAATATAATTACTTTTATTGTATTCTGTGGTGAGAAAATGATATATTCTTCCTGATACAGGAGTCGCCTGTTTAATCCTAGGTAAAAAACCTGTTAAAAAAAAAAAAAAAAAAAAAAAGAACTTGTAAATTAAGTTTGGTGTTGAAGGAACTGGTGACATGTCATTGAAGAGAAAGGGAAAGTTAAGGTTTCCAGTTTTGTTTGAGCCAAGAGGTTGTTCTGTAGAAAGGCATTTATTTTTAGATTATCCGTAATTCTAGAATTGATTAACTATGCTTATTTTTATAAAAAGATAGAGAGAAGTACTATTTTATTTCTTCTAATTAGTTAACTTTTTAATATATCTTTATTGATTTCAGAGAGAAAGGGAGAGGGAGTCAGAAACATAAATGATGAGAGAGAATCACTGATCACCTGCCTCCTATCCGCCCCCCACTGAGGATAGAGCCCACAACCCAGGCATGTGCCTTTGATCCGGGGACCCTTTAGTCCAAAGGCTGATGCTTTATCTACTGAGCCACACAGCTAGGGCTAACCATGCATATTTATTGTGTGTACTTAGCTTATAGTTTGTGTTCAAACTTAGCTTATAATTTTTTATTGCCTAAACCATACAGACTTGTGGCAAATATGTAAATTCCATAGTAAAACTTTCTAAAGCCCTTGTAGGAAAGGTATGTTAAATAAGTGTATCCATAATTAGTATTGTTTGAGATTGCATCATTGAAGTCTTTTACTACATGTCTACATTTCTTTGACTTATGTAAGACATGTTACTCTGTGATCTTGCAGTTTCAGAGAGAATCTATTTATTTATTTTTTTAAATATATTTTTATTGATATTTCACAGAGAGGAGGAAGGGAGAGAGATAGAGAGCTAGAAACGTCGATGAGAGAGAAACATGAACCAGCTGCCTCCTGCACACCCCCCACCGGGGATGTGCCCGCAACCAATGCACATGCCCCCGACCGGAATCGAACCTGGGACCCCTCAGTCCGCAGACCAATGCTCCACCACTGAGCCAAACCGGTTTTGGCGAGAGAATCTCTTTAAATAGTGTACTATAAGATTTGTATTTTACATTATTGGGGGGAGGGTTGTCAGCACGTAGCCCACTCTTGTGGTCTTTTAAAATTTCAAGTAAATATTCTTAATCTGTTTTCTCCCTATAAAAATTAACTCATTTCTTTTTTCTTCCTGAAAGGACATCATCATAACCTAACCAAGAAGGGACATGTGAGCTTTTTGACATGTTTCTCATTTGCAGCTTGCCCTTGAAGGGTATATTGAAGGGTAAACTAATACAAAGCTCTTTTTGTCCTGTTACTGGAAAGCATTTCAATAGTGAGCATTGCCTTCATTTTACATAGGAAGTAGAAATATTTAATTTTTATTTGTTATATTATATAGTTGTGTATTGCGTTATGGTTTACTAATAAATTGTGCCCATATATTAACTTAATTCAAGCAAACATTAAAGCTCTTTGTTAGGTGCCATGGGAGATAGGA